CGGCCGGCAGGCGCGGCAGGAAGGGCAAGGCCGAGGTGCTGCTGCTGGAGCTGTCCCGGGCCCCGGAGCCCGTTCGGATGGAAAAGCGGCTCGGGAGCAGCGAGGACGGCCTTGAGACCCCCCGGGGCGGGCGGCCCAAGAGGAAGGCAGCCAAAGTGTGAGTTGGTGATGACAGCTGGGGCCCGGGGGCACCTGTGCCCTAGAGACACGTGAGAGAGGTGGGAAATGTTCGGCCTGGATAAGAAAAGGCTCCAGGGAGACCTTAGAGCTTCTTATGGTGCTTAAAGGGGCACCAAAAAAGTTGGAGAAGGCCTTTGGACAAGGGGCTGTAGGAACAGAACACAGGAATGGCTTCCTACTGTAAGGATAGTGGGAAGAAATCCTCCCCTGTGAGGGTGAGGAGGCCCTGGCACAGCTTGCCCAGAGAAGCTGTGGCTGCCCCATCCCTGGAATTTTTCAAGGCCAGGTCGGATGGGCCTTGGAACACCCTGGTTTAGTGGAAGGTGTCCCTGCCCATGGCAGGGGGGTGGAACTGGATGAGCTTTAAAGCGTCTTCCAACCCAAACCATTCCCTGATTCTGTGATTCAATGATCTCTGTCTCCCCAGAGGGTCTCAGTGCCTTTCCTGTAGGACTTTGTCCCGTGTTGGTGGGATGTACTGATTCCTCACAGACCAATCCTTTGCTACTCTAGGGAATGTGTTTGGATCCAGGAGCCCCTGGCAGGGGGCTGCAGCTGCCTGTGGCAGGAGGAATTTCCTTGGTTCCTGACAGAGCAGGAGGAGCTTATTGGTGGTAGCAGGGCAAGCTCCAGGGAGTTCAGGGTGCGGGGAGGCCGTGTGCTCAGGCCCTCCGGTACAGCTGGAGCAGATTCACTGCCCAGACCACGGGCTGGAAGGGGGGAGGCAGGGCTGGCCCACCCCTGTGTTATCCTGCTGCTTACCTCCAGGCACTGCCCTGCTGTTCCAGGGCTCTGCTGTACCTGCAGGAGCTGGCGGAGGAGCTGGCGCCCACGTGCCAGCCCCCCGTGCCGGCCGAGGGCGCGCCG